AGGCTTATGAGACAGGAGTCAGTCAAGACAGAGACAAGGATGAGCAAGGAGAGCCTGAATGTATAGAACCTCTGCCCATTTACCACTATGTTAGCAGAAACTGTGGCAAAAATAAGGTGTTTGGGCTCTATGGAGTCCTTTAGAGCATGCCTGGTGATGATGTAGAAGAGAAAAGTCCCTGAGGACATAGAAAGTAGATGGGAGTCACTCGGCAGACATAGACAATAGACAGTATGGTGGATGGGTGGCCAGCAATGGTAAAGGCAAGAAATCTAGTGTGGCATTCCTTTAGAAGTTAGGGTATGTGGAGGGGTGGCCAGGATGGGAATTTACCCTCAGAAGAAAGAGAAGAGGAAGCTTCTAACATTAACCCTTCCCGGGTGTTGGCACCATTATGTATTATGTAAGGTTAGGCCAAAAAAGAGACTACCACATGATCATTCAAGCAGAAAAGAGTTTATTAGATGCATCTGAACTGCCATCCTACACATGGTGAAGAGGCCAACGCATGGAAAGACTGGGGTTAATGTAGGGAGGAGGCAAGAAGGAGGAGTGGCCATGGTGAATGCGACTTGACTCAGAGCCTGAGAACCTCCCACTACCGCCAGGTGCACCAGTTACCAGGGTTAGGGTGGGGGCTTCTAGGGAAGGGGCCAAGGAAGAACCATTGCTTTGCCTTCCCTACAGCTGCATCTTCATTATAACTTACAGTCTCTTATTTGCTGTTGACTACCTCCCCAGCATACACTCTCAGAGATAAGGGATTTCACCCGTCCTGTCTACTGGTGACATAGGGTGGGTGCCCAATGCAAAGCTCTCAACAAATATTTTTGAATGAAAAGATGCCTATGAATAATGTTGGATTGTCTTTGGCTTATTATTATGGAGAAGGACAAAGGAAAGGTCAACTTGTGCAATTTGAACTACCACTGAAGTGAAGCAAATTATAAAGGCCTTGGAAAGCAGGAACATCTAGGCAAATGAAAATGATCACATTAGTGTGGCAGTGTGCTAAATGCAGTGTGCTCGGTAAAAGTGGACCGGACATAGTCTTGCTCGCACAGATAAAGATACTAGTCAATTGAGATGCTCAATGAAGGCTTTGGACAAGAGAAATGGTTGAAAGTATACTAAATTTCTGAGAATATTGGAGGCTTATCTAAAGACAACATTTAGAACCTTGTTAGAACCAGGTTAAATTAAACAAATAGAGTATAAATTAGACAAAGGAAAAATGAAATTTAATTGGGACAAACAGTTTCTCAGGTAACCTGAGAAACATAAGTACAGACCCTCGAAATGGAACAAACTCTGGCCTAGCATTTACTGAAATTTGCAAAGTGAGTAAGAATAGGGCCAAACTTGAAAGGTGGGATCTCCCTATATAGAAAAACTCCAGGCTAGTCATTGAAAGGAAAAGTCCAGAGATAAAGGGCCTGGGTAAATTAGGGGGTTAAACACTAGGTTACTGGAATTCAGTAAATAACAGTGAAACTCAGAAAGAGCCAGAAAACCTGGAAGGTGGTTTGATTTGGGGTGTGATAAATAAGAAGTTGGAATGTGTTCTGGTCAATATCAGTTAAACCCAAAACCAGGAACTGAACAAAGGGAAGAACTGGGATAAGAACTTAGCCTTGATGACTTATTGCCTTGGTTACTGGAGTTGTAATCACCATCTGTAATCACTAACTGCTAGCCCTGCTTCTGTAACTTGCTGACCACTTTCGAGTATCCCCACCTCCCCCACATAGATCTTGCCTTTAAATACTCTGAACTATTTGACCTTATTGCTATTTTTCATTGTCCTGATATAGTGGGGAGCAGTTGCTGTGGTTAATAAAGATTCTTAGTCCAATTGATTGAATGTTGGTGAATCCTTTCACTGATCATGGGTTCAAGTCCCACTGGCCCTGGGAAGTTGGGATACTTCAGATGTAAGATTTTGGAGGCAAAGACAGCAAAACCACGAGTTCAAGGTCAGCCTGGGCTATATAGAGCTTGCAAGAGAGAGAGAGAGAGAGAGAGAGAGAGAGAGAGAGAGAGAGAGAGAGAGAGGAGAGAGAGAGAGAATTTGTAAATGCCATGGCAAATTTAGGGCCTCACACTCATGCTCAGTTTGGTTAAGGTCTATCAATTGATCCATGCCTACAGACCAGCTTTTTGCTGGTTATTTTGCAGACAGAGTCTTGTGGAGTTTTCTGCCTGAATTGATTTTAACTCACAATCCTCTGATCTCAGCCTCCTGAGTACCTAGGTTACATATGCAAGCCACTGGTGTCTGGCTTCTTCTTCTTCTTCTTCTTCTTCTTCTTTTTTTTTTTTAAACGTTTTCTATATCCAGTACCTATACCAGAAAGATACAATTTTTAATGTTATTAAAAGAATATTATCACACAATAGTGGTTTATAATTATAATAAGCCATTAAGTATTTTTTATAGAAAGCAAACTTTCTTTTTTTCCATGCCAGTCCTGGTTCTTTGAACTCAGGGCCTGGGCACTGTCCCTGAGCTATTTTTCTCAAGGCTAACACACTACCACTAGACCCACAGCTCCACTTCCAGCTTTTCGGTTGTTAATTGGAGATAGGAGTTTCACAGACTTTCCTGTTCAGGTCTTTGAACCATGATCCTCAGATCTCAGTCTCCTAGGATTACAGGAGTGAGCCATTGGTGCCTGGTGCTCATGCTGACATTTTCCTGGACAGCTAGATGAGGCATCTGGGTGAGGTTGTTCAGAGGTCTGTAGGTCTTCTGTCTCCAACTATGTTTGGCTTTACAAGTGTCACATCCTCAGGAATGGGGACCTGGCAAAGTACAATGACTCTTTCTTCTCCTTGGAACAAGTGGTTTCCTTTAAGGAAGGTATTTTTCCGGAAAACATGTTATTTCAAGGCCATCTGATTCCAGAAGGCATATTGTCCTAGAGTGAAATATCACTCTGCTTTTAGAGCCTAGAGCAGGGGAGAAAAGGTACTTCACGCTAGACACTGCACACCAGCGAGGTGGGATTCTCAGCTCTCTACAACCAGAAATCCAGGCCCCAGGCAGTCAATGGGAGAGACCAGGTGAGGATCAGTGTGTTCCATTGCACCCAGTGAGTCCTAGATGTAACCTGCTGGTCTCTCTCTCTCTGCCCTTTGACCTACATAGAGCCAACAGAGAAGCCCTAAGATAGAGACAAAGGGAAGCAAGACCTGTGGTAGGGAGAGACATGGTCTGATTTGTGCAGGTGTGAAGTCTTGGAGGAGCCTTGACATGGCTAGAGGACTGGAAATATGTGTTCTCCCCAGTTTCAACCCTCTGCAGGTGTTGTCTTGTTGGACAGTCCTAGGGGACTACAGATAGAAAGGGCTCCTTTCCTCTTGAAAGTCAGCCACTTTTGCTCACGTAAAGTCAAATCCCCAGCTGCCCCTCCCTTAGAAGATCTGCACTGTCTTGGCATGCACAAGGAAACAGATGCCTCTCTGAGCCTGCCCATCCAGCATTTATGCATGGCGCACAGCATGGTGGCTCAGTTTCCTCACTCATCTGCAAAATGGAGGTTATAGGGCAGGTTATAAGCACTTGAAAGATAATGTATGCGGAAAGCACAGGGCCTGTTGCATAGTAAGAGTCCAAAGGACATACACAGTGAGGCCAAGGGATGACATTCTTAGGAGAAGAATGCAAAGGTGCAATGATTATGTGCATCTGATCATATAAAATAATATTTATCAAAATGAACTCCAGAAATGGAAACAAGAGGTTTTGTCTTTGTTGCTGTTTTTGTTTCTTTTTCTTTCTTTTTTTTTTGTTTCCTTTTCTTTTTGTCTCGTTTATTTATCTGTCTATCAAAGGGTAAGGGGGAATCACAGAGATGGAAGGACAGAGTAAACAAATGCAGCAGTGGTACTAACTAGACACTGTTGAAAATGAACTATACAACTCGTGGTGGGTATGGGAGGGGATAACAAGAGAGCAAGGGAAGGGAAGACATTGTTCAAAAAGAAATGTACTCTTGGGGCTGGGAAGGTAGCTCAGTGGTAGAGCGCTTGCCTTGCATGCCTGAGGCCCTGGGTTTGATTCCTCAGCACCACATAAGCAAAAAGAAAAAAGCCGGAAGTGGTGCTGTGGCTCAAGTGGTAGAGCGCTAGCCTTGAGCTGAAGAGCTGAGGGACAGCGTCCAGGCCCAGAGTTCAGGCCCCAGGACCAGCAAAAAAAAAAAAAAAAACAAATGTCCTCTTTACCTGACTTATGTAACTGTAACCCCCTGTACATCACCTTTATTATAACAGTTAATATGTTAGGCTTTAATTAGGTCTAGGAAACTACCACACGGTCTTCAGGCAGAAAAAGAAAAGTTTATTCCCAACTGCCCGCCCTGCTGATGGTGGAGGTGTGCACACAAAGGGGAACCCCTGGCAGGATTGGAGTTAAGTAAGAAGGGGGCGGGAAGTCTGGCCACAGCCATGAGGAGTTGACATCAGCATCCAGGAACCTCCCAAGGTCTGAAGGAGGCATGACTGGCTGGGTTCAGGATGTAACCTCAGAGAAAGTAACTGCTACCAGGTGTTGGGCTACCTTGTTTGTCTGAGGCCAAACCCTTAACACAAGCAGCAATCAGAGAAAAGGTGAGGGTATATTAAGGGCCTGCCTCACAATTTGACATGTTCATCAACTCCCTCACCCCTAATAGGCAGCTGGCACTCACTCAGACTTTGGTGTTTACCTGGCAAGGATGCAACCATAGTGGTTCTCTTCACCTGCAGCCAGCTCCTGTCCATCCTAGCCCAGACCCCATGCTTTTCTATCAGCCTCACTCCTTTCTGTGTAACTTTCCAACCCCTCCTCTCTCTAGGTCCTTCATGTGGCAGACATGTGCAGGGCAGCACTTCTGGACCCTCGGGATCACTCTGCTCCACTCAACAAGGAGGTCCAGGATGCAGATGGATAAGCCAGAGAGACTCATAAAATATGGCACAGCATTTGTTCCGTGGGCACAGAGAAAACAGACTTTCTATTAATAAAAACTAACTGCCCCTTTATTTGTAGCAACAACAAGGGCTTTGTTACATGCTCTGAATGTAACATCACATTTTAACTTTTTTTGGAATTATCTTTCAAAGAGTTCAAGATTTTTCTACAGCTGACGCAAATCACTCGCATTCACTAAGAATAGAAGCAACCTATGAGAGTTTAGCAATATCAAGTCGCCGTCAAAACATGTTTGAGTCTTCTTTTTCACTTTCCTGTTAAGAAAAACATCTTGTACTTTCTAAGACTCTGATTTTTCTCTTCTGTTTCCCTTTTGTGATTTTCCAAACCAGATTTGGAAAAATCCATAAAAGGATGTATCTTCGCAATGATCAAATAAATCACTTCTTCCCAGGAAGCATCGCTCTTTCCGGAAGGTCAAGGCTGATTTCAGGCAACTGGCAGAGACCAGCCTCAGGGCTGGACATTGATGGTATGTTCAAAAAAAATACTCAGGGGAAGAAATAGATGGTTCCTTAAAAATCCCTGCTAGAGGGTATCCCTTCCTTGGGTGGCAATAAAACCCATTGCAGACGGCTTTGGTGTCAGTAAATTCCAGTGTATATCCACAGAGTGGGCCCACCATGCCATACCACATTGGGTCTGTCCACACTCCCTCAGGCCTAGTCTGAGCCCCACCCCCACCCCCATCCCACACCTGTGGATAGTGCTCAGCTGAGCAATCAGAGCTAAGAACTGAGTCCCACCTGGTTCAAACACCTCCTATTCCTCCAGGTAGGAGGGCACAGCAAGCCAGGATGGGAGGAGATGGGAAGTTTGTGGGTACCGGAAAGGAGAGCCTGAGAGGAGTAAGACACCGAGGAGGGCTTGTAGTCTGCCCCTCCCCCAGCAGAGCAAATCCTGGGGGATTGTTCACCTCACATGATGGTCCAGAAGTCCCCAGTGCTCAACACTTGGCGACCAGGCACCGTGAAGAGAGAAGCCTCTTGGTGAAATGTGGCCACTGTGAAGCTGTGACTAGGGCCCCCCTGAAGATCCTGCGTCTTTGAGTCGTAGCTGAAGCAGCAGAGGATGCAGGTGATGGCCACAGTGACCACGAACAGTACTGCCACCATCCCAATCACCGCCGTTTCCATGATCTGTGTCCTCCTGCAGCACCTGATGTCAGAGCAACCTGGGTGGTTTCAGAACCTTACCACTCCATTCCAAAATGAGGATGGGGGTTCTTGAGCCCTTGTGCTGGATAGCTGCTTCTCCTTGGTCTTCTCAGATGCTTGAGCCCCTTTAGGTCATCAGTCACCCCTGCCAGGTCCTCCAGCTGGGATCTCAGATGAGCTCTGTACTATTTTCTCCAGAGCTGCCACACTGGCCGCTTCTAGAAGAAGCACTGTCACGGAAGATGTAAACACAAGGCTCCCTGGACAAGGAGGGGGTGGGGAGAAGGATACAGAAGACGTTGCTCAGGAGAAGCCAGCCAGCCCTGGCCCTCTGTGACAACTCCAGACAAGAGAGATAGAGCATACTCTTAACATCCCTCCTTGGATGAGGGGGAAGAGCCTGGCTCCTCCCCTAGAGGGACCTTGGGCCTGTCCTAGAATCTACCTCGGTGCGGTTTCCCCCAGGCCCTGGTCTGATGCTGGGGGGCAGGGACGAAGGTTCAGGGAAAACAAGAGATAGCTCTGGTGGGGGAGTGTTCACAGGTCACCATGTGTGCCAAGGGGGCTTAGGTAGGGGCTGAGGGGAGGGAGAGCATGTTGCATCTGGCCTCCTTTTTCTAACATGGGGTGGAGCCTGTGGCTTACAATGGGACAAGCTTGTTCTGGCCTTTCAATAACAAGCGATGGGGTTTTCTCACCCAGAAAGCCCAGAAGAACCAATCTAGCCCTATTTCTTAGCAGCCTAGTCCCACCCCTCACACTAGAGGCTGTGAAGACTTACCCTGTAGTCCCTGAGGACCAGCCCCAGCTGTCCCTGATACTGTGGCTTCTGCTGCTCTGATGGCTACTGTAGGGGGCCTGATGTTCCTCCCTGGATGCGGCAGCTGGTCCTGCCTAGAACTTGGCTCCCGCACATCTGAGCAGCTGTGAGTACTTCCTGAATCCCTTCCTCCCATTGTGATGGAGGACCCATCACCCTCCCCACCCACGCACATGCCCCATTTCCACTCTGCCCTTTCTGGAGAGGGTTCAGGGATGTGAGCCAAGACAGGTCCCTGGAAAATTCTGCCAGAAGGATCGCCACCTTCATTTTCCAACCTGACCACCCCTTCCAACCCATACTTCCATAGAGGAGTCTGAGTGAGAATTAGTAATTGTAGGTGTCCAGTACATGCTCATGGCTTCCTTGCAGCTCAAGATGGTGCTGCCATTGTATGGCCCCTCCCTATACTAGGTACTTTTTAGAGTAATTGCCCAATCCTATCATTTTGTTGCTCAGGATGCCAAGGCCCAGAGATGACAGAAGGCTGTCTGGCCCCAATCACACAGTCTGGGTCCTTTCCAACTTCTCCAAGCCCCAGAAGAACTTTAGGAAACTAGCTACACACAGAGTAAGAGAATGCTCAGTCAGCAAGTCTCACACTTTTGCCTTTTCTACCCAGCTTGGACAGTCTGGGATCTGGGCTCTTCTTTCCCACAGGCACAGAAAGCCAGAGATGCCTGGGGCAACCAGAAATGGAGAGAAGCTGACTTGATGTAAGGATTGCAGTGCCTACAGTGTCTGATTGAGTCTCCCACAGGGCCTTGTGAATCTAGGTGATAGAAGCTGGTTTTTGAGCATGACTGTTTCTCTTTGCTTGCTCTTTGTGGGCACACGTAATACCTGCTGCTGCTGCTGCTGCTGCTGCACATTTTTCATTGGGAATTCATGACCACTGGCCAGCCTTGTACAGGTTCCCTTTTTCACCTCTGAGACTGGAGGAAAACGTTTAGCCTTCTTTGATTGATCTGTAAAACTAGGGGCAGGGCCTGCAGTAGGCAGACTGGAGGTGGCTGGTATGGGAAAAGGAAAGGTGGATTTGAAGGACACTGCAGAGTGAAAACTCAATGATCTTTAGGTCCTTCAGTCCACTTTCTCATCACAGCCACCTAGTGTGGCTGTCCATTTGAATCCTCCATCCCCCACTTCACTCTTGCCCCAGTCCTCAAAAAAGAATCCACTGGGAAATAAAAAGGAAAGAGGACATTCTATCCCTGTGAGTCACCAGGCCCCTGGCTCGCTGGCTTGTTCCCCAGCCCCTCCCTGCTGAGCCTTGCCTGGTCTCTGTTTCCTCCTGCTCCCAGGGACAGGGTGAAGGCCTCAGAACATTTCCTTCCTCTCTGTGAACTCTGCCAGCTCTTCAGAGAGCATCTGGGAGCAATCTCTCCTGGCTTTGGCAGGAAGGAGCCCCTATTACCCATTCTGATTTAGTAGGCAAAAACGTTGAGACCCAGAGGACGGATACACACTCCTAAGGCCATCCTGCACCCCAGCAGTTAAATAAACCCCTCTCCTTCTTTTCTTTCTAGACCACGTGATCATGGGCAGGCATCTGGGAGCAGGCTGGCTGGATAAGAAACAGACTCACTTATCAAAGAAACACTAAATTCAGTGCAGCCTGTGGGTAGGCCTTTTGAGAGTCCTGGAATTTAGTTTAGCCTGGACTGAGACTAGAAACTGCACTGGAGGTAGAGCCCAGGAGACTAACCTCCAAGCGGCCCCAGCCCTACCTCTCTGTGGTCCTGGACTGTTTTGTCTCCCTCCCCCTGCTCCACAGCCCTGCTGGCGGAAAGCTTTTTGCAAACTGAATCCTTGCACGCGCATGGGTGGGGGTGGGGGATGAGAGACTGACTCAGGCAGGGCCCTCTACTTTCCCAATCATAGTCAGCTGGGAACCCCAGCTATAACTGGGAGTCGTAGGCCACAGGCCCAACCTTAGGGGTTCCACCATGTCAGATCTGGCCACTCCCAACAATATGCCAAGTAAAGAGACAAGTAGTGGTGGAAAGGCAGAGAAAGATTTATTATACAGCATGTTGCAAGACGAGGCAAAGTAAGCATCTCAGCCTGTCTTTGGGGTACAGACATGAGCCTTATGTTTCTACAGGGGAAGAACCGGGGCCGGATGTATACATAGTTATTCAACACAGTTACAGGTATAGTCCAATGGTCAGGTGGCCAGAGATACAGTCTGATTGACCATGGTCACAGGATTGGTCAGGTGGAGGCTGGGGAGTCGATTCTACTCTTGTCACATGAGAAGGTAGGTGGTTACAAGAGAAAATGACTGGGCAAAGACAAATACAAAATGGAGTCAGGGATTCCAAGTTTTTTTTTTTTTTTTTTGTCGGTCGTGGGGCTTGAACTCTGGGCCTGGGCGCTGTCCCTCAGCTCTTCAGCTCAAGGCGAGTGCTCTACCACTTGAGCTACAGTGCCACTTCTGGTTTTCTGGTGGTTTATTGGAGATAGGAGTCTCATGGTCTTTCCTGCCCGGGCTGGCTTTGAACTGCGATCCTCAGATCTCAGCCTCCTGAGTAGCTAGGATTACAGGTGAGAGCCACCAGCGCCCGGCAGGGATTCCAAGTTTTTATCCTGCTTTTCCTTACCCTTTTGACATCTGCAGGCCCAAGTGATGAGTCAGTGCTTTTGGCAAAAGCTATTTCCAAGTACCCGTTAGACAGGTTGCCCTCCCAGAAGGACATCACAGGACAATGCACACACAGATCTGGTGGCTCCTGCTCTCCCACCTGCTGAATTCAGGAGGCTTTCCACAAAACCTTCATGATGTCTTGAATGTCTTGTAGCAACGCACCAGTGATTGGACTGTGCAGCCCCATTCTGCCTTCTCTATACCAGAAAGGCATTCTCCAAGTCTCTCACCTTCCCACCTGCCAGAGGCCTGCAGCCACATGGTGAAAGCCAGATGAGGCTAGGCACTGATGGCTCACACCTATAATTCTTGCTACCCAGGAGGCTGAGATTTGAGAATCAAGTTTGAAAGCCAGCCTAGATAGACAAATATGAGGGAAATGAACTAACCTGCAAAAAGCTGGAAGTAGAAATGTGGCTTAAATGGTAGAGCACTAGTTATGAGCAGAGTATGTAGCTCTGAGTTCAAGCCCAGAATTGGCACACAGAAAGAAGAAAGATAAAGAGAGAAAGACAGAGAAGGAGGAAGGAAGGAAGGAAGGAAGGAAGGAAGGAAGGAAGGAAGGAAGGAAGGAAGGAAGGAAGGAAGGAAGGAAGGAAGGAAATGAACCATTCATATTCACCTCTGTGCTGGCTCTGCCAGACATGCTTGTTATCTATGGAGTCACCAAGAGCTATAGTCACAAGATAGGATGTCCAGGCAACCCTGTTCCCCACTTCTGAACCCTACAGTGTTCACAGGGTCACCCCAGGTGGTCTCAGTTCTCTGTTTTGTAGTAGGGTGGTATAGTCTACAAATGATCAGTCTGACCAAGGCCCAATATCCATCATTCTCCCCAGAAACACACTTATCTCCACAAACTCCATCGGGGTTCACTTGTCTGAGTGATGGATAGCAGGCAGAACAGGGGCAGCCATCATCCACAGGTATCAGCGGCGGGCTCCATGAGCATGGTGATGGTGATGGTGATGTTGGTGGTGGTGGAGGAGATTGGGATGCTGCAGGTGGGGTTGGTGGTGATGGAGGTCTGCTCTAGGCACACGAGGCACATGACGCAGGTGATAGGGATAATGAAAGGTTCTTAGGGGACCCCGGCCCTGAAAGAACCGAGGCTGGGCTTGCCGGACTTGGTTTCTCCCTGTGGCTGGGCGATTCCTCTCCACGTCATGGTCCCGTGGTCCATGGAAAAGACAGGTAGCCAGCAGCAGCAGCAGCAGCAATACAGCCACTGCAGCACAGGTGATCCAGCCCGCGAGTGTCATGTTCCATGGGAGGCCTAGCATCTGGAAGCTGGACAGTCCCTCTTGTTCAGCGGCTCCAAGCTGCTTCCTTCCTTTCTGCAGCCTCTTTCTCAGTCCTCAGCCACAGAACTTGGTCGTCACAGCTCTTGCTGGTTGGAGAGCAGCCAGGAAATATGGGTGAGGCCTGTTTGGATGGGAGCTGCCTGCCAAGGGCAAGGTCTGAAAGCTGTTAACTTTGAGAAGGCCAGGCAAGGAAGTTGGATGGAAACAAAGAAGCTGTCTGACTCAGTGTCCTTGAGGGGACAGGCCTAAGACTAGGGGTAAGAGGTCCAGGGCCATTCTACTCTTTTTTCTTTTCTTTTTCTTTTATTTCTTTTGATATTTTTGCTAGTCCCAGGGCTTGAACTCAGGGCCTGGGCTCTGTCCCTGAGCCTCTTTGTGCTCAAGGCTAGCACTCTACCTCTTGAGCCACAGTGACACTTTGGGCTTTTTCTGAGTAGTTTATTGGTCAGAGTCTCACAGACTTTCTTGCCCAGGCTGGCTTTGAACTCAGATCTCAGCCTCCTGAGTAGCTAGGATTACAGTGTGAGTCACTGGTGCCCAGTCTATTCTACTCTTAGCACCTAGGTGACAGGAGCCATTTCTTCTCTGAACTTCAGTGTCCCCTTTTAGACAGGGTACCCACAGAGACAAAGAACATGGGCTTTGGAACTGCTCTATGATGTGCACGAATTACTTAACCTCTCTGTGCCTCCATTTCTTCATCTGTAAAAGGAATATTGATAGCACCTGTCTTATAGAGCTTTATGAGTATCAAAGAAGGTACAATAAATAAAGAATTTAAGCTGGGTACTGGTAGCTTACGGAGGCTAAGATCTAAGGGTTGCAGTTAGAAGCTAGCCCAGGCAGGAGAGTCCTCGAGACACTGATTTCCAGTAAACTACCAGAAAACCAGAAGAGCAGCTGTTGCTCAAATTGGTAGAGTACTAGCCTTGAGCTAGTGGACAGCACCCAGGCCCTAAGTTCAAGCTCCAAGACTAATAAATAAATAAATAAATAAATAATTTAAACAGGTCCTGACACTTTTGCTTTTGATGGTATCACAATGGAATTTGGGTTAAAGTATTTAGAAGACTATTATTCAAGAGTTGTGCCCTGTCTCACTGTTATATGGGAATTGGATCAGCAAGATATAAAGAAGCCACACTTTGAAAGGTTGAATCTGGAGTCTTTATTACAAAACCAGCGGCTGCGATCAGACTCATGTCTCAAAGAAACTGCAGCCTCAAATGCAGTTACTACAAAGCTATGAAGACAAAAGTCACATGACTAGTATAAGGAACTAAACCTACCAAAAGTGTGTTTGCTGAAGTAAAGCAAGCTAGGTGGAATACTCCAGGATCTGGGGCAAGAATCCCTGGAGCAAGACTCTCCAGGCGTTGAACAACCTGACACATCTACAATTCAAAGAATGACTTATTTCATCTCTAGAGTTTGGGGAACTGGGTGAAAAGTCCCCATCATCTACGAAGACAACTAGATGGTTGGTGAGGACAAGATGACGTTACTTAGACCCTGTATCCATATTTCACTATCACCAGCAAAGTCCTCTGAGGTTAAAGGATAGGTTCTGCCAAGTAAGTGGTTCGAAGGTCAAGTTGCTCCAGGAGCTCAGAGAGATTGATGGCAGCCTTTCTCAGTCAAGAAAGCTGTCCCTTTTCTGCAGAGCCTAGAAAGCTAGAAGGTCAGGGATTAGCCCTCAGTTACTAAGAGGCAGGAAGGAGGCAGCTGAGCTCAGACAAGCCAGAGCCCAGTTCAGCCTCCAGGCTCCCAGGCCAACAAGAGTCTCAAAGGGCCATGAACAGCAGACATTTTGCTCTGTCCCTGTTTCCCTGTGAAATAAGGCTACGGGGTCTAAGTAACATATTATTCTCACAGCCATTCTGGTGTCTTGCTGAGTGGCGGTGGGGGGGGGGGGGTTCCTCTCAGCTTCAAAAGGCTTAAGAGGTGAGAGAGGCCATTCTTGAATTGCAGGTGTCATGCTGTTTAGCTCCAGGAAAGCTTTGCTACAGAGAATGCTCGCCCTTGATTATTTCCCTAAATGGTCTACATTGCTAGCCTCTGAGTTTCCCCTACGTAGTCTGCTTCAGTTGGGCTTGGGTCTCCACCCCAAACCTGTGGTTTTTGTCTTTAAAAGCCTTTGTGTAAGCTACATTCTGGGTTGAGGGTCTTTGAAACAGGACTCTACCTGCAGTTGCAGGTTTTTTTTAATAAAGACTCCCAAGTCAACCTCTCAAGATGTGGCTTCTGTGTTTCTTGCGATTGAATTCTCAGCCACCATGCCATTCCTGCCTGGTGGAGGAATTAGGCAGATTCTCTTCCACTCCTAAATCCTGTTACTCATCAAGCTCTTGTCCAGTCCTATTCACAGATGGAGAAATCAGTGCTCCCTGGCTCCCTGGGCACCCTTCTTGCTGCTGCTGGCTTGTTGGTGGAAATGTTGCTGAAAGGAGACCTCCATGCCTGGTTCAGGCAGAAGAGAGTTTGTGTGGGAGAGCCATACCACCAGCTCATGCTAGAGAGAGATTATATAGGGGAGGGTGAGGAGGAGGTGTGATCGCAGCTGATGCGGATGTGGCCTCAAAGCCTGGCGTCCTTTGCTGATTGATAGTCACGTGATAGCTAGTTACAGGTGATTACCAGTTTCTTGCGGGCAGGTGATTTCTGGTAAGGCTACATGCTGTCTTTCACGAAGGAGGGAAGGGGCTGTTCTCCCAGGCAGACCTAACCATTGGGCCATGCCCAGAGCTCTTGTTCAAATGCAGCAGGGCCTCCCCAAAGCACCAGCTCTGTCTCTGGATTCCACAAAGGTTCTGCAGGCTGAGTGCCCAGGGCCTTCATCCAGGATCCTCCTGGCAAATGTCCATGTTCCTGCCACCCAGAGGAGGGTTTGTTGAAGCTACAAGACTGGCTCTCTGCTGCAATTTGGCATGACCTTAGCATAGCCCTTCTCTTCCCCACAGACTGTTCCCTCTTCTGTAAAGGTCCCAGGGTAGAGATGACCTCCAGAGACACTTTCCCCTCTGACCTCAGGCTAAGCCACTTTCTCTTAAGAAGCCCTCATGGGCTCAAAAGGCTAAACATTTCCTTCTGATAAATTGGACTCAGGGGACAGGTCTAGTGAGTCCTGGGGCTTCTCTGGCCCTTGGGAGAAGCCACTTGAACTTTTAATGATGTTGCAGTAAACTTCTGCAGACGTCTGGGGCCCTGAGAGCCAAATGAACTTTCCTATGGGGGAATTAAGGAGGAATCTGCTGGGAGCAGGGGTGGGGGGTGGGGTATACTTTAGATTGGGTGTTTTCCTTTTCTGAACCACTTCTTCAGGGAGCCTCCACCGCACAGCAGGCAAAGCCAGCCCTAGTCTGCATAACTGAAGAGCTTTAGTAAGCACCACAGACACTGGAAATCACCCAGGCCCAACCCCAAGGAGAGATATGAAAATTAAGGCCAGAGAAGGGAAGGGATTTGTTGGAGTCCTCAGCTTTTGTAGGCTAGTGTAGCACCATTATTGTCATATGGGGCTGTCCATGCCTACTGTATATATGTGGAGAAGCCTGAAGGGGCAGGGATTAAGGAGGATCCCTCCACCTCTATCATCTGGACAGGGATAGGACCCCAAGGTAAGTGTTTTTGAGATGCTCTAAGCTCTTAGGGATGGCAGGCTATGGTGACTAGTAATTTCCAATGTGGAATAGTATTTTCCCTTTAATTATTTGGACATTTTAATGATAATTTTGAATGAAGAAAAATTAGAGGTCTGGTTGCATATAAAGATTTGCAGGACTGATGGCTATGTTTTAAGTAGTTCAGAAAAACTGTCCCATGGCTTTGTTTTTGTATTTCTCCCCCTGAGCTCTTTCTCTCTTCTGCATACTACACACCCAGCCTTCTCCACTGAGGACCAGAATTCCAGACCACATGGTTGATGGATAAGCCGTTTGAAACCCCTGTTAGTCCACTTCATCCACACATTTCCTAGCATGCCCCACCCACACAAGTACCAGCATGCACATGCATAACCATAAGCCACCATATTCTATACTGGCACTTGAACACACTCATGCACGTCAGCAATGGCAACCACATTGTTTTCACTAATTGGTGGCACCACCTAGTGGTGACACTGTAAGCAAATCTCTTTTGTACTTAGACCTAGCAAAACTTCTAGTACCCAGCTGGGCTCAGGTGCCTCACATCTGTAATCCTAGCTACTTAGGATGGGATCTTAGGACAGAGATTCAAAGCTAACCCAGGCAGAAAGTCCATGAGATTCTTATCTCCAATTAACCACCAAAAAGCCACACATGGAGCTATGACTCTATTGGGTAGAGCCCAAAAGCTCAGGGATAACAAACATCTAGGCCCTGAGTTCAAGCCCCAGAACATGCATGCACGCACACACACACACACACACACACACACATAAACAAACATAAAAACAAACCACCTCCTAGTGTCCAGATTTTTCTTTATAGAACTCAGTTTGAATCTATGCATTAAATCCCTCCAAAATGCCACTGAAATGACCAAAGAATTAAAAATGGGAGGATACTATTCTACAATGGATATCAGTGGAATCACATTCCTGGCCCACAAAGGCCTCCAACAAGAAACATCCAGTGACCTTGAGAACTAGTAGTGTTTATTCTCAGAGAAGCTGCCCCATCTTTTGGCTTGAGACAAAAGCAAGGACACAAGCCCACTGATTCCTAACTTTGGCTCTCTTGCAACTAGAGAGTGGGGACACTCCTGGCATATCTTAAAAAGAAGCTGTACAACACAGCAAATTTCTCATCTCTAAACCCTTCCCCTACATTAGCAATGGCAGAATTGGAAATGAATTTGGAAATGAAACCATAACCTGTTCTTCAGTGTCTCAAATCAACATGCTTGGAAATGATCTATATAATCTTGTATAGAGGGCTGGGAAGGTGGTTCAGTGGTAGAGTGCTTGCCTTGCATGCCTGAGGCCCTGGGTTCAATTCCTCGGCATCACATAAGCAAAAAGAAAAAAGCCAGACGTG